GTGGATACCCCAACAGTGACGAGATGGTGCGAGACCGCATTGTTTTCGCTACAAATTCACCGCGAGTGCGGGAGAAGTTGCTCAGCCACGGCGCGGAGCTAACGCTAGATCAAGCCATCGACATCGCGCGATCACATGAGCTAGCACAAGTCCAACTCAAAGAGATGGTGGGAAGCAAATACCCCAACAACGACGCGGTACGACGCATAGCCCGAAGACCGGAACACAGACAAACGCGCACGAGTTACAAAGCCAGGCCGAGAGAGCCCGCCACAGCTCATAGAGAATGTGATAGATGTGGCGGCCTGCATACCACCAAAGAAGGCGCCTGTCCAGCAAAAGGAAAGCAATGCATGAAGTGCAAAAAATTCAATCACTTTGCAAAAGTCTGTAAGTCAAAACTACACACAAACACACACACAAGAAAAGTGATTCACACCATGGACGAAGACACTGAAGATGAGCAGGTAGAACTTTTTATTGACGGACTTACAAGTGAAAACACAGGAAAATGTAACGAACAAGCTTATGCTGAAATTAATATCAGGATCCCAGAAAGTTAAATTCAAAATTGACACTGGCGCACAGACCAATGCAATTCCCGTACACACATTTGAAAGACTGTTTAGAGATACTGCCGTAAAACCAACCACCCAAAAGATCTCCGGCTATGGTGGTGATTTCCTGAAAGTGAAGGGCACCTGTCGTCTAAAGTGCAAGTATAAAAACACCTCCATCGTGCTCGAATTCTACACAGTAGACACCAAAGCACCTCCCATCCTAGGGATGAGAGCTAGTCTAGACCTCAAGTTAATCAAACTGATACTGGCTGTGGCCGAGGAAGAAGCGAAACCATGTACAGACACAGACAGCCTCCTTAAAGAATACACAGACGTCTTCCAGGGCATAGGAGAGTTTCCAGGGGAGTGCAACCTCCATGTCGACCCACTCGCCACACCAGTAGTATACCCACCACGAAGAGTACCGATCGCTCTGTGAGACAGACTGAAAAAATAGCTCGACAATATGGAAGAGAACAACGTAATTTGCAAAGTGACAGAGCCCACAGAATGGGTTAACGCCCTCGTAGTCGTCAAAAAACCCCAGACTGGCAAGCTGAGAGCCTGCCTGGACCCCAGAGACCTCAACAAGGCAATAAAAAGGCCCCACTACCCCTTGCCGACTCTAGAAGATGTCACCACAAAGCTCGCCGGAGTGCAGTACTTCAGCGTCCAGTACGCTGTACAACGTCTTCCCTGTTAACGACATTTAATACCCCTTCGGCAGATACAGGTTCCTGAGGCTGCCGTTTGGAATCAACTCAGCCCAAGACGAATTCCAAAGGCGTGTCGACGAGACATATGAAGGTCTCACAGGTGTAGCTGCCATTGTCGACGACATACTCGTCTTCGGTGAGACAAAGCTTGAACACGATAACAACCTCAGGGCCATGCTGAAGCGCACAAGAGAAAGAGGGGTAAAGCTAAATCCCGACAAATGCCAAATAAGTGTATCAGAGGTCAGCTACTTCGGTCACACGTTCTCGCGAGAAGGCGTCAAGCCAGACCCGGCGAAGGTGAAAGCGATACGAGAAATGCAGCCACCCACAAGCAGAGGGGAGTTGGAAACCATCCTCGGGATGATTAACTATTTGGCCAGATTCGCACCACACCTCTCCGAGATAAACGCACCACTACGCCAACTGCTGAAGCAGGACAGTGAATTTTTATGGGACAAAAATCACGACAAAGCATTCACGCAGACGAAAAAATTGATAACAGATCACCCTGTGCTCGCGTACTTTGACCCACAAAAAGAACTCAGACTCCAAGTAGATGCCTCAAAATGCGGCCTCGGCGCTGTCATGCTCCAAGATGGAAAACCCATTGCCTATGCTTCCAAGTCACTCAACAGCACCGAAGTGAACTACGCCCAAATATAAAAGGAACTGTATGCAGTTTTATTCGGCTGTAAGTGTTTCCACGAATACATGTATGGCCGGAGTATGATTGTAGAATCTGACCACAAACCTCTGAAAGCAATCCTCCGAAAACTGCTGGCCGCAGCACCACCGCGGCTACAGAGGATGATACTACAGCTTCAGAAATATAACATTCACATCATCCACAGGCCTGGAAAGGACATCCCAGTGGCCGACACCCTGTCCCGGAAATCCATCGAGCACCAAGACAGCAGCCTCATGGAAAGCATGGAAGCACAGGTACATACACTCATAAGTACTGTTCCAGTGAGTGACAGAAAGCTACTGGAGATCAAGGACGCAACAGCACAAGATGCACAGCTTACTACACTCAGAAAAGCCGTGCAGAACGGATGGCCTGATGAAAGGAGGAAATGCCCGCTCGGCATCCAGGAATATTGGAACCACCGAGATGAGATTTCTGAGATGGAAGGAATACTTTTCAAAGGTGTGAAAATCATAGTTCCCCAGAGCCTCAGAAGAGACATGCTCCAGCGCATACACGCAGGACACATGGGTGTGGAGAAAAGCAAGCATAGAGCACGAGACCTCCTGTTTGGGAAAATGGGAAAACAAATAGAAGCAATAGTAGAACAGTGCTGTATATGCCAGGAACGACGTGATGCTAACCACAAAGAACCCCTGTGGTCACATGACATACCCGAGAGACCATGGCAAGTGGTAGGCACAGACCTCTTCACATGGAACACTCAAAACTTCATCGTCATTGTAGACTACTACAGTAGATTCTTTGAAATGGAGCAACTCACGAGCTGCACCTCACTTGTAGTAATCACCAAACTCAAGTCCGCGTTCGCCCGTCACGGCATCGCAGAGACAGTCATCAGCGACAACGGACCACGCTACAGCTCTGAGGAGTTCCGCTGCTTCGCAAACGCGTGGAACTTCACCCACACCACCACAAGTCCACGCTACCCACAGAGCAACCGCCTTGCTGAAAAGACTGTCCAGACAGCAAACCGCATCCTGGACAAGGCAAAAGCCGGAAACACAGACCCCTACCTCGCTCTGCTGGAGTACAGGAACACTCCAGTGGACAACCTCCAGTCACCGGCCCAGCTTCTGATGAGCCGACGACTACGTTCCATACTCCCAGCGACCAGTAGGCATCTGCAGCCACAGGTAGCACCTCAGAAAGCTATCCAAGACAGACGGAAGGCGTGCCAACACCGCCAACAAGCATACTTCAACAGAGGCACCAAGCCATTGTCTCACCTACCTGCTGGCACACCGATTCGCTTCCGTCAGGAGGATGGTTCCTGGAGACCTGCAACGGTAACACAACATGCACACACACATAGGAGCTACCACATCCAGACAGAAGATGGACAAACTCTACGACGCAACCGTTGGCACCTCCGCGAAAGCAGAGATGCTCCAGACACTAAAGACACACAGCATACAGAAACACACACCAATAACACACAGCCACCACAACCTGAACCTGCGGACCACCCGCAACCAACAAAAGCCCAATTACACAACAAGGTTTGGCCGCATCTCCAGGCCAAGACAAGTCCTTGACTTATAATGTAAAGGGTGTAGGCGGATCGCTGCCCTAAAAAAAAAAAGAAAAAAAAAAAGAGAGAAAACGTGTTTACAAACCTGTTACTTACCCGATACCTCGGAAACACTGTGAAATCAGTTTGACTGACTGTTCTGTCTTTTCACAACTAGTTCACCTTCAGGTTACTTAAATCATACAAAAAATCAAAACATTGTTTCTGACTAGAAAACTAATGTCTTATCTACATCCACGTCTTATGTCATTTAAATGCTGCCCGTACTTGTTTACATTACAGCAATGACACTAATGATGACCACAGACTGTACATGTCAGACTGCTTATATATGCATTAGCACAATTGTTATGTTCACGGAATTAATGTTGCGTGTGTTTAGGTAATGCCATTTGTTTCTTAAGAAGGGAGATGTAACATCCTGACTGTATGTCCAAAAAGGGACACCGTAGCCCTCGTGCAAGTCTCGCGAATCTCGTGGTGGTGGAATAATAATAATAAAAGCGCACAGTTCCAGTGGTCCGTGTCTGGTCCAGTTATTATATGTAAAATATGATTTAGCCAGTGAGCAAACATTACAACCATGTGAATATTTAACTTGAATTCTTTGATCTGAATTTGAGCAGTCGAATTTGACATCTGAATCTATTTTATCTGAAATTCTGTAAGGTGATTTTTTTTTTTTGTATCTGAATTTGTGAGCATTGAAAATTATTCATCGAAATTCAGGTTTTTAAAATGGAAATCAAGAATGTTCTAATTTAAATTTCAGAGGTAAATTCAAAACAAATAAATTCAGATACATGGTTTCCAAACTAAAATAATTTCAAAGGGGTGAATTCAGAGCAAATAAATTCAGATAAATGTTTTTCAAAATAATATATTTCAAACCGAAGTATTCAGTGGCTGTTAAATTTCAAATAGTTATGTCTCTTATTTGCTTCCATACAATGATTCTTCTATGGAATCCCTGCAAAAAAAATAAGAGTGTGAGTGATACTATGATTACTTTCACTGTAAAAAAAAGAAAGAAAAAGAAAAAAGTTGCTGCCTTAAACATCCAAGTTGATTGTACTTAAAAACAATCAACTCTTTGTTGCTTTTAAACAAATTGATGCATAAAGTGAAGAAGAAAGGAAGACCAGACTAGCTCTACTTGTTCAATCTGAACGAAATACTAAAATTAAATCACATGGAGGTATGAAAATTATGTAATAAACAAGAACAAATAATGTTTTTTTTTTTCAAAGTTGTTTAGAGTCCAGCTCTTCTGCTGCTCAGTCTCTTTATGAGAAACAATTTCAGTCAGGTGTGTCCAAAATATTTGACTGGTACTGTATTCATATTAATGCATATAAATAATAAATCTTATGGACTTCACACACAGTAAATAGCTTTGCATCTCCAACATGAATAAATGTAAATGGGAAGCATTTACAAAAAAGACCTTGAACCACACTTCCATAATGAACAGAGAATGCAGGAAAATACTTTGCCTTTTATTTCCTTTTTTATCATTTTTAAACAAATGTGAAGATACATCCATGACAACACAAAGTTCTGAACTCCCCTTTCCAAAGTGTTTACATCTACACTCTCTCTTTACAGATCTGTGTACAAAACAATAAGTTATAGTCCCATAGATTCCTACTTACATTTAACTATACAACAAAGTTTAAATGGTGACCAAATAAATATCTGCAGTATAAAAATGATCACAGGGAGAGGAAGAGGCCCGGGAACGTTAGGAGGAAGTGCTTCGGTCAGCGAGCGCAGTGACCGACTCCCTTCCCGACCAATGGCATCGTTTGAGCGAGAAGAACGCGTGGCCCTCATTACTAATGGTGCTGTTCAGACACAGAGGCTTTTTCAAGTTCCTTTGGAAACCTCTAGCCAATCACATGCAAAGCTGGGTATGACATCATCCATCACAGGTTAGTGGACTTTTGATCCAAATTGATTCAATTAACGTTACATACAAACACAAAACAGAGCATTTCCAACATGATTTGCCTTGTCAATTCCAGTTTTTAGTTTGTCTTGGTAACTGTAAGGGATGCCAGCTTGAGAGAGGTCTGACGTCGACTATTAAGACGATTAGTAGGCATCAGGAGGCTATACTGTGTGTGTTTGCATTGACCACGGCCACACTTTGAACGGTCACTCGAAGGGTTAAAGGTGAGAGGTGATTGGCAACGGCAAACATGTCTGATGCATTGCTTTGAGAATAAACCAGGAAACTCTGCTATCACTCTATCATACACATACACACAGAAATATGATTATTTCTAATCTTTTAGTAGTTAGACTTTTTAAATAAAAACTCATACTGCACGTTGTGTACACTGATGAGAGGAACGCTTGGCCTGATACTGTCAAATAGGGTCATCAAAAATGCTTTTGCAAGACATGATTGGCAAACTGAATCTAATATAGTGATTAGAATTCATATGGCTGAATATCAAAAAAAAAAAAAAAATAGTAAAATACACCAAAATTCTCAAGTCAAATTTCACCCCAAAAACAAGAGATTAAAATAATCAATTATATTTTGAATCTATTTGGACCACTAAGTTTTGTATTGTGACACTGAAAATAATTTCTCATATTTTTTATTTTATTTTATTTTATATAACGGTAGTAAAAATATAAATACCAATACTTGTATTGCAGTAAAATTATTTTATATTTTATTTTACAGTAATGAAAACACCATTTCAACATGAACAGGTGCTATTTTTTATTCTTATTTAATTCCTATGATAATGATTCATTTTCAATGGGGATATCATTACTGTAATCTAAAAATACTTACTGAAATACAATCCTTTTATGCTAATTTAAATACAAATCAGAACAGAAAATACTACCATTATGTTTTTGTTTATCTCTCTTGATTGTTGGGTTAAAAATGACCCAGGCGGGCTCTTGACATGACAATTACCCATTTAGTCAACATGTTTAGTAAGTTCTGTGGTCCCATACATCCAAATGAAATGCATTTAAATCAACTCACAACATGAGAAAACATTTACCCTTGCGTGATTAAAAGAATTCAAGCTTTTTTAAAATGAAAAAGGGAGCATCTGGTCTCACATACCCAAGATGCATTGCTGCAGTCTCATAGAGCTATTCTATGAGTGTCCTGACGTGGGTTCAGCATGCGCTCAAAATGACCAACAATGATAGGAAAGTGAAGGCAGAGAACTGTGTTTAAAACAACTTTGTTCTGGAGGTGAATGGACTTGATCCAGCAAGTTAAAACTAAACTAAAAAGAAATGCAGCAGTAAGACAACTAGTTCTGCATAAACCTTAAAGGAATAGTTCACCTAAAGAAAAATTCTATCATCGTGTATTTTCAAAGAGATTTTTAGTAAAATGTCCAAAAGTCTGTTTTTCATATATATATATATATATATATATATATGTATATAATATAGTGACTGAAAAGCTCCAAAACGGACAAAAAAAGCAATAAAAGTAGTAAATATGACTTTTATGTTGTTATATATATTCCAAATCTTCTGACTTCTAAGAAACAGAGCAGAAGTTAAAGGGATAGTTCATAAAAAAAAACTAAAATACTGTCATTTACTCACTCTCAACTTGTTCCAACCCTGTATTAATAACACAAAAAGACATTTTTTTCTGGTCCCCATTGACTTCCATTGTATTTTTTTCTACACTAGAGAAGTCAATGGGGACCAGAAACTACTTTGTTACAAACATTCTTCAAAATACCATCTTTTATGTTCAATAGAAGAAACAACTTAATGCAGGTTTGGAACAACTTTAGTAAATGACGACAATTTTTATTTTTGGTTGAACTGTCCCTTTAAATCACATGAAAGCCTCAATTTTGAGCAAATACTGACTAATCGTGACCATTTCGGATTTTTTTTTGGTCTTTTTATGAGCTTTCCCGTCACTATAATGAAAACAAAAGCTTAATGGGAAAAAACATGAATGCGATTGTGAGTAAATGACTTTTTCACTTTCAGGGTGAACTATTCCTTTCAAACATATTAGTTGTTACAGAAGATGTAGTTGTTTGATTCTTCAACAGATCAGTCATGATAAACGCTTCCTGCTATCATTACAGATTTGAGAGACCACACATTCCCCATTACCCTGTCCTGATCATACTAACATTGCAAAATAAGACTGAGTTTTTAGTGCCTATGGAAAACAGCCTGGTAATTTCCAACGTTTTTCTGAACATTAAAAACATTTCCTGGTGTCATCTGACAACGTCCACGTTTTTAAGCAGGTATCAAGCAGACGGACATGCTAGTAAAGTGCAAGATTGAGTGAGAAATCCATCACATGGTCCTATATTCAAAAAGCATTTCAGAGAGTTTATGCGCTCAGACTATTTTAGCTTGATGACAGCAAAACTCAAAAATGCTTCAGGAATATGCACCTGATCCCAGAGGCTGGATGTACATATTAGCTTCATCTGTTAAGGTACACAACCAAACATAAAGCGTCTAAAGTTAAAGGAATAGTCCACCCAAAACAAAAACGTCATTATTTACTCACCCTCATGTCGTATGCTGTTTTATTTCCTAGAGAAAAGAGGAAAATTTCAGTGTATAACACCTTAAATTTGGGGTTGTCGTCACAAAAATGTATCACGACTTCAGAAGATCTGGAATATAGCGCATAAAGTCATAAAGACTATTATTATGGTGCTTTTTAGAGCATTTATGATAAGAAACATTGGTAACACTTTGCAACAAGGTTCATTAGTTAACATTACGTTAGATAGCATGAACTAATAATGAACTCCACTTTATTAAAATCTTGTTAACATTAGTTAAAGCACTGTGAACTAACATGAACAGCTGTATTTTTATTAACTAACATTAAGAAAGATTAACAAATACAGTAACAAATGTATTGCGCATGGTTAGTTCATACTAGTTAATACATTAACTAATGAACCTTTTTGTAAAGCATTAACAAAACGTTTAATATTTATATGATGCATTATCATAATGTATTAAATTAAATATTAAGCCAATATAAAATGCAAAAAAAGATTAAACGGTATATTCTCTTTTTTTAAATTAACTAAAAAAAACTTTTACATTCCTTGGTAGAAAGAAAGTCATGCAGGTTTTACACAACATGAGGGCGAGTGAATGACGACCCTTTAAATTTGAGGGTGAACTGTTCCTTTAAGACTGCAGACCATGTGATCATTAAGCATAAAGCACGTTCATATGCACGCTCTCGCATACAGACACACACACACACACACACGTGCGCGCTGCTATGCATGAAAGGTCTTTGTAAGAGTTTCTAGCATGAGGGATTTCAAATCAATGGTCGTTTAGTGTCTTTATGGAAGTGAGCGGAGGGAGAAAACGAAGGTGTTCATTCTCCCGGCACCATGTCTTTATGATGTCTCATAATGTGCTGGTTTTTCTCCGAAGGCCTCCGGAAGCCCTTCGAGCAGTACTGACAGCGGTGAGGATAGTCTTTAGTATGGATGGAAATAACGTGTCTTTTGAAGCCAGACGCGTCTCCCGTGCTGTAGTCGCAATACTGACACTGATACACACGCCTTTCCCGCGGACCCTTGGAGCCAATGGCTTTCTTTACCGAGGGCGCCGCTAACTCCGCCGCCCCTATAGTCCTCTTGGGGGCGCTCTTTTCTGTGGGCGGGGCTTGTGGTGGCGACGACTCGGAAGTGGGCGGAGTCGGTTGTTGCGACGTCTGTTGTTGCTGTTGCTCCTTCGTGTGAACGGATAAGATGTGCCGGCTGAGTACGAACGGGTCTGCGATCTTAAAGTTGCAGTGGCGGCACTGGTGCAGTTTCTTGGCTTTGTGCGACGCGGAGTGTTTCTTAAGCTCGGACGGCCGGTGGAAGCCTTTCCCGCAGATGGCGCACTTGTGCGGGTAGTCTTTAGTGTGCACGGAAATGACGTGCCGTTTCAGGTCGCTAGAGTTGGAGCTGCGATGGTCGCAGTGGTTGCACTGGTGTCCGCGAGCGTCCTCGTGTGTCGTGGCGTGTTGCGTCAGCTCGTCCTCCTCGGCGAACGTTTGACCGCAACGCTCGCAGCGGAACGGAAGCTCGCGGCTGTGCTTCGTTTTCACGTGCGTTTTTAGGTTCGACGAATCGGCGGATTTGTAATCGCAGTACATGCACGAGTACGGCTTCTCGCCGGTGTGCGTGCGCATGTGTTTTTTTAGCTCCGACGGGTGGCGGAAACCTTTCCCGCATTCCACGCATATGTGCGGGAAGCTCTTACTGTGAACGGCCAGCAGGTGGCGATTGAGCAGCCCTTGCTCGGCAGTCTCGTAATCGCAAAACTTGCATTTGTGCGTCTTCGCCGTGGCGGCGGGAGGAGAGGGCGATGCGATTGCCGTGGGCGTTTTCTGCTCGCGGTGGTGGTGCTGGAGACGGTGCGAGAACAGCGCCGCCTGCTGGTGAAACTCTTTACCGCAGGTCTCGCATTCGAACGGCGCTTTGTTGCTGAGCGCGTGGACCTCCATGTGGTTGTGCAGACTGGCTTTTTTGTTGGTGGTGAAGTCGCAGTCCGTGCACTGGTACTTTTTGCGACTCAACACGTCCTGGTGGTGGTTGCGAGTGTGTCGCTTCAGGAAGCCGCGGGATTTGAACTTCTTACCGCACAGCATGCAGGGGTAGACCGTCAGAGGCTGTCCGTACGGACCGATGATGATCGCTGGGGAGGAATGAGAGATACGGACAGTGAGAGGATGAAGGAAAATCAGTTTTATAGCTGACATTATGCAGATAGAACTAAAACTATTAAAAGAAGCATTTATGTTAATTGAAATCAATTTGAAATCAAATATATTAAATTCAATTAAATTCACGTTTATTTGTATAGCGCTTTTCACAATACACATCGTTTCAAAGCAGCTTTCCAGAAAATGGTCCACATTATACTTTAGAGTGATCTGTTATCAGAGGAAACTGTCCAAGTTATGTATTTTCGAAATGTACATATACAAATCACAGTTAGCTAAAAATGTATTAATTTAAACTGTGTAATAATTTAAGGCAGAAACAATGAGCTCATTGATATATGCATTACATGAAATACAAACTGAACAAAAATGTTGCCTTTAGTTAGAGAACTAAAATTACTAACTGGAAACTGGAAATAAATAAAAACACACAGAAATAAAATAATTAATTCATAAATTAAACAGTTATATAAAACGACAAAACCACATATGAAAATGAAAACTGAATATATATATATATATATATAAATAAATAGTAGTAAAATAACACTAAATACAACATACAAATTAATGATGGCAATCATTTACTTTATTCAATTCCACCAGAAACCTTTTAAAAACATGTTAGTTACAAATGGTCTTATTTTTTATCTTTATTTTATTCTTATAAGGTAAAAATTCATATATTTTTACTAAGGCTAAATGTATATTTCTGCTATAACTGGTCACATTTCTTTTCACCATAATTTTTAATTTCACTCGATCATTTTAAATGGTCCTGCAGTGCAAAAGATAAAAGTATAAACATCCCATGTAATCTCTTACTTAACCAACAAAAACTGACTGTATAGTAATAATTAAAAAACTTGAAAAAATGCTTTTCAAAGAGTTTCAGTGCATCACACTATAAGACATTTCAGGTATTGAGAGATTTTGACACACTGTTAAGACTCTCATATGCTCCATCCACACAAAATATTTATTTATTTATGAATGATGTTTACTTTTGACAACACCTCAGGAAGATTTTGGAACTGCTTGACTAAAAAAGCTAAAATATAACCGTTAATTAGGTGAAAAAGACAGTTAATGGCTGATAACACTGATGATCATATCAGACAGTATCATATAGGTGTGTGTGTGTGTGTGTGTGTGTGTGTGTATATATATATATATATATATATTACACACACACAACACAATATAGGCACCACCACTGATAAATGTGTGAAGTTATTGGTCATTCCACTCGTCAGTCAGTTTCTACTGATAACCATATCAATAATTAGTGTACATTTTAATTTGCTCAGTGAATTATAAGTACACATTTAAAAGAACTTTATTAAATGAATAGAGAATTCTTATTCTCTATCATTAAATCATCTTTAATGATCAGACACTAAAAAAATCTGTTGACTACCAATCAGAATCAGAATCAAATTTGATTTTTTTTTACTTATATTATGCCTTTTAAATTCAAATGTAAAAAAAGTAAAAAAGCTTTTGGCTCGTCTCCTGAGGCCACAAGAGGACGCAATGAGCAAAATATTAATGCACCACATTAAATTGTTTATTTAAAGCAATTAAATAATATGGCTGTCTGTAAAAGTGCATAGCATTTAAGCTAACGTTTATAAATCGATTATAATTTAGTAAATTGCATAAATAATTATGAACAAAACAGCATATTTTAATACAAAAAGCCAAAGCGCTGATCTAGCGCCTGTTTACATAGAAAACAGTGGAAAAGTGTTGCAGAAAATGTGTTCTGTGTGAACGGTTAGTTCTGGTTTCGACGTAACCGAGATCTTCTCTGCATTGAGCTTCTCTATCTCTGCAATGTTTTGAATGAGCGACGTATCAGCGCCACATCTAATGGGTTCAACTGGATAGGCAAACAAAAACATTAAAACACAACAATGACTCTTGCAACATCACATCTCGCGTGCCTTTGATAAGCTGATGCACACCTAAAGTTCAAATGCACCGTGTTTGCATATGAATGTGGATTTTTATCTGACATTTGACGAATATTCGAAATTCGAATTTTAATTTGGCAGCCCTAAATCATAACAACAACTAAAAAGCTTAGATTTTTCTGCATATAAAGACTTCAATGGGGGTTGAAGGTCCAAATGTCAGTTTCAAAGTCTCTACACGATCCCAGCTGAGGAATAAGAGTCTTATCTAGACAAACCATCGCTCATTTTAAAAAAACAAACATTTGTATACTTTTTAACTACAAATAATCGTCTTGCACTACCTAGTGTTTACAAAGTGAAGGTGCAAAGACTAAATCAAATGCCCTTTACAATAAAATAAAATAAAATAAAATAATAAAATAAAATAAAAGGTAATACAGGATGATTTTAAAGTTGGAGGAGAAAATGTAGTTTTTCGCCCAACCCTACATTTTTGAACGAGAACACGCGTGACCTTTAAACATGATTATGTGATGCGGGAAGTGTGTATATATATATATTTTTTTTTTATATGTCAGCTGGTTTATCTAGATAAGACTCTTATTCCTCGGCTGGGATCGTGTCGAGTCTTTAAAGCTGCACTGAAACTCACATTTGGACCTTCGACCCGTTGGACCCCATTGAAGTCACTATATGGAGAAAAATCCTGGAATGTTTTCCTCAAAAACCTTAATTTCTTTTCGACTGAAGAAAGAAAGACGTGAACATCTTGGATAACGTGAGGGTGAGTAAATGATCAGGATATTTTCATTCTGAAGTGAGCTACTCCTGTAAGCAGTCAGTGGCTGGTGTGTGTGTGTGTGTGTGTGTGTGTGTGTGTGTGTGTGTGTGTGTGTGTGTGTGTGTGTGTGTGTGTGTGTGTGTGTGTGTGTGTGTGTGCTAATACCTGTCTGGACCTGTCGGGGTTCAGCTCGTCTCTTCTTGCCGTGTTGCCGGTTGAGTTTGTCCAGTGCGTCCGACTCGTCGATGTGCAGTAACGCGCTCGCTGCACCGTTACGGTTCTCACAGCCCTCGTCCGCACCTATGACATCAGCATATTCAAGAATGATTTATGACTAGAAGAAACATCCTAATGAATGCAAGATCACAACGTTATTGTCCTTCTAAATGCTCATATCAGTCAACCACTATAATCAAACACAACATGAGAGCACAGTAAGTGTATGTTTCTGCAACACAGTTTCTACTTCCAAACATGAAAAGCTTTAAATGCCAGAAAAAAGATATGCATAATTAAACTCAGATTAACCAGCACTTCCATCACATTTGACATGAAGGTTTCTAGTGTCTGTCCAGCACATAAAAGAAAGGGTATTTTGACATTTCATCACTGCTGGGTTGACAATATCAATTTCCCGATTTTAATTGAATTGATATTCCAAGAATCGATCTTTTATTCAATGCTGTTTTCATCTGATGCGCGAACATAACTTCTCTAAACATTATTTGTAAGCGCCTGCCATCCAATAAATAAAAAACATACTTTTTGCTTTGTTGATATGAAAAAAGTGTCGCAAATTCGGTCAGTTTTATCACGAAATTCAAACAATAAATGTTGTTTTGATGATCTTTAATGTAGTGTGACACTTTACTTCTTTATTTAATGTATGTTTGAATAAATCCGTCATGACAGTCAATGTTTAAATGTTTATATTTAAAAAAATGAATTTGAGTAGAAACAAATATATCATAAAAAAAGTTGTTATTATTAAAGACATTATAAACACTGTTATAAATATGCAATTTAAATGTTTGTATACAAACCAGTTTTAATTTGAGAGTTAATTATTATATCTAAAAATAAATGGCAATTGAATTTAGTAGTTTGGACTTTTGAGGTGTTCATTTTAAACTTTAATATTATAGAATTATACCAAATGACAGGGTTCCCTGTATAGTTTACAGCATTAGTTGAGATTATTTTCCGTAGAGAAAAATTTACATGTAGTGTACCTCATATATATTCAAATTGAGAATGAAACAAATCATGAGTCAATACATTTCATAATTCCTGTGTGCATGCATGGTGTTGTTTGTAGGCAATAGACACTAGCTTGTTTAAGTTCCTGTTTTCCTACATGATCTGGGTTTGTGTAATGAGGAAGCGTTTCGAGTGTCCTGACCGTATGCAGCTGCCCACGCCACAGGCATGAAGTCCTTGCTCAGGGCGGTGCCATCATACGGCCTGTCATGAGGAACCGGCTCCTCGCCTCCAACCACCACCTCCATGTACACCTCATCCGAGAGCTTAGAGCCTCCTGCACACACAACACACACATGGAACCAAACAAAAACACACCGAAATATTCAATAACAGTGTCGAAAAATAAAAAATAATGTTGGCAAAGACACCATCCACATAATTAGCATGTTTCACACCAATTCAATCCTTCAAATCAAAGTTTCATCTTTGAAAACATATTGAATTTGTAGCTTAGTAAATCAAACAGGAGTACGTTTGGGACAATAATAACTGGTTCGACAAGTTCCCAGAAAGTTACATAATTTGACATTTGCAGAACAGAAAGAACGAAGCGCTTTGAGCCGAAACTAAGAGGCTATTTGAGCTTTTGCAGCCAATATCAAGCAAACGTGTTATGAAGAGCATAGCTAAAACCTTAAAGCACAGTGTGAATTACTTTATACCAGTAATGCTATACATCACAATATAGTTATTTATGCTGGAAATTTAAGTACTTAAAATATTAAAGGCACACCGTGTAACTTTTGGCCAAAAGAGTTGACGCATATGAGTTATTTTAAATGATTCCTCAGGCCAATATACAGCGCTTGACACTATCAATGCTCCGAGCGGGGCTGCCCTCTTGAAATACCGCCTATGTAAGTTTGGAGAAGACGGACCGTCTTTGGCCAGGTCATGTGACCTGGAGAATGCCTGGAGAACGTATCGCTTTACGACCGTCATGTGACCACAGGCTCGGAAGAGTCAAGGAAAAGAAAACGAGAAACTGACCACGTGAGAAAACCGGACAAGAGTCTCACTCGGTCAGGCTTTCACTTAAAAAAGGACAAGAATGAGCATCAAACAGAAATAACCAGGGGCCACACCTTATTTCCACTCGTTATTTTACGACAGTACAAGTACTCCACAGCGACTCTAGGGGTCGCTGTTTGACAAAAAGGGAATTCCTACATAGTGCACTTTTAAATAAAATAGATTTTAATACAAAATTGTATCAAATAATCATGTATGAATGCCTGTTTTTGGATAATCCATTGAAAAAAAATACTGAAATAATAAACTGTTAACTGGTAGAAAAAAAATTATGTCAGTTAGTAGTCTAGGCAATTTTTTTTTGTTTCAGTTTGTGGAATTACTAAAACTGAAATAAAAATAAGACTAAATTTTTTTTTAAATAAATAAACTAGTAAAATAGCCTGTTGTAAGCATGTCCATTTATTGTTATATTAACATGCTAAGTAATGATTTTGCTCCACAACCATAAACAACAAAACTTTGTGTTGAGCTTAACAACACCTCATATATTCAATGCTTGCAATTATATCTGCCTCTGTATAAACGTCAGACCTGATGCCAAATTTCTACTGTTGCATTGTATACATACTAGGGGTGGGCGCTATACCGGTATGAACGTGACTACCGGCATTATGTTGTACCATGATATGAATTTTGCGATACCGAGAATACCGTTAGATATTCATAAATTCAAATTTTGTAGTTATATTGTTTTGTTCAATTTGGTACTCTTTACAACGTTAAAATAACACTACTAATGACGATAGAAAGTCGAGGCTGAACTTAACCTTTTCCTCTTGTGTCCACAGAATCAACACCGGCCGCCACATAATGCGTTTCGTTATTATTATTTATTTTTTTACGCCATTTAAAACACGCAGTGTATTCGTTCTCTGTCACTGTGACAGTGTGTCACTCCGTCTTGTCACACACGCGCCTCTCGCACACACACACACACACAGCGTCTCTCTATGAGGCGCCGGACGGGATAAAAGCGAAGCGAACTCCGCGATCGACAGCGAGAGAGACCGCGTGTGTCCGAGCATTAGTAAATTGATACATAGTAATATATAATTACTATATAAGAGGTATGGAAGTTCGATAAATGGACAACAATATATATAAAAACAACAATTAAATTCTCACCACTGAATTAGCAGGATGTAGCCTACTTCTCTCTTTTGGTCAGTATACAAAAACTTCTCGGTTAACATAATGTTGTCTTCAATTAGGCCTAAGTGTCAAACCTCTCTGAAATCACACTATTTCATATTTATTGATTATAACGTATTCAATAAACCAAACTCCAGTGTTACTCATCTTACGAATTATTAACGAAGGAATTATTTGACCCCCGCAAAATAAAAAGTGGAAAGAGATAACTAGTGAATTCAGGCCTACCTCATGTTGCACGTTTGCACTTTTTGAGAAAAACAATGGCACAATAAAAAAAAAAATTCTGGTCTATGTCCAATCAAATCCCTCACCTTTTTCTAGTAATAGGGTTAAAATACATATTTTGCCTGTAATTTAACTAAGGTGTACTACAATGTGATTCCAATTTTTTTCTTCTCATATCGCGATATAATATCGATATCGTCCGGACAGTTAAAAATATTGTGATATGAATTTTTGCTCATATTGCCCACCCCTAATACACAGTCATACCGCCCAGTCCTACTGCAAACGTCACAGATGCGTTAGATAATCAGTCTCTCACCATCAGTCTGTGTATGATGACCGTCTCCCACAGACATGTAGACCATCTTCTCTCTCAGCGGACGAATCACAGGCTCAGCCAGAGCGACGGCCTCGTTCTCACTGAGGTCCACCGTCTCTCCTGCACACAAATCAAGCATCACACAATTACTCGCCGATCTGGTGTTAATAAATGACACACAGAACACAGATAAGGGCTTTTTAGGGATGCCCAGCGTTTACCAAAACTTGTGTTTTCATTAGGGGAATTGAACTCTGTATGCTGCTTTAACATCACACACTGTTATTATCCAAAATTATATAAAAATAATGAAATTTGCATCACTTGGGCTGTGTCCGAAATCTCCCCCTATACCCTTAAAGGGGTGCTAAAGTATGATTTCACTTGTCTAACTTTAGTTAGTGTGAAATTTTGCTGTCTGAGCATAAACAACATCATCAAAGTTACAACGCTCAAAGTTCAAAGCACTACAACAAACGGCTGGAAGGGACTAAACGACATTCCTCCCGGGTTAGTGACATCACCAACCCTAAAATGTACATAAACCCCGCCCCCGGGACACTTAGTCCATGTTGAGAAGAGGAAAAGTTGTTGTATAAGAGTACATTTGTGAGTCAGCTCAAACTTTAGCATCCATCTTTTCACATGCAATAGAAATTCACTCTGTGTGCATCTCATAACAGTTCTGTCATTTTAGTGTGTCTGCTGCGTGAGGTAATCGCAGCTGCTAACACACACACACACACACACACACACACACACACACACACACACACACACACACACACACACACACACACACACACACACACACACACACACACACACACACACACACACACACACACGAGCTCTTGAAACCCCGCCCTCTGCAGCAGCTCATTTGCATTTAAAGGGCCAGGCACAAAACGGTGTGTTTTAGCAAACCCTCAAAAAGTGACAACTTTAACATGCTATATAAAAATATCTGTGGGGTATTTTGTGCTAAAACTTCACACACACACACTGGGGACATCAGATTTATTTTACATCTTGTGAAAATGGCATTTTACCACCCCTTTAAATACGGCACTATTATCGGCGTTATCGAGTGCACTCATTCAATCCCACAATGCACCGCAATAATGAGTGTACAACTGATTTTTATACATTTTCCAAACCGCTGTTCCAATGTGGCTACAGAGTAATATCATGATGCAGGTATAAATACCTTTTTTATTGATTATTAAATTGTTTAATTAAGGTTTAAACATGCTAGTTTCCATGAAAGATGTTTAAGATAAATCTTTTCATTACTACTGGAGCTGCCAGTTTGATCAATTTAAAATAATTATTAAACGGCAAGCACAAACTATGCAAAAGCGGCAGCCCTTCATTCATTCCTTCAAGTGGACTATATTAGTGGAGTAATGTAGGGAATAGTGAATGAAGGCATAGGGGGTGATTTTGAACACAGCATGGATTTTTTTCCGATCTTTACTTACATTTCCTTACATTTTCAGTGGCAAAAATGTAAAATGTCTGGATGGGTCCCAACAACTACCTCACAGTACGATACAAATTCTCATGATCATGATGCATATCATAATTGGATCACAAGTGAAGCTGTGGCAAATGCCCAAGAAAGACCCAGCATGTCCACCAGAACAATGAATCTGCAGTTTCAGTTTGAATTTCGGTCACACGTCATAGAAGAAACTCTGAAAAACATCCCCACATCAGCTCTGCTACTTCTTATTGAACTGCGGGTTTCATCATCGGCCCCTATCCAGTGATGAACTTTAAACAAAAAATATTAATAATCAATTTCCATAATTGAAGCAAAGTGGAAATCAAATAAAATACAAATATTAGACAAAAATCTTAAATTAAATCAATTATAATAAATAATAGTTTCTATATAATTTTATTTTAGTTAACATTATTTTAATTAAAGGTACAATATGTAAGATTTTTGTAATAAAATATTCAAATTCCACTTGATATATTTCATGCAGTTGTGTACTTACATTATCCCCAAAGTTCCCAAGGATTTGTAAATCCAGAGAAATTCCAGTTTTAAATAATGTCATTGTCGCATATCAATTATGTATTTCCGCTTGTAGAAACCATAATATATACATAAATACCAATTAGTGGCCGTTTCAATGGGCCGCTATATGTAAGCCACTTATGAGGATCTATGTATTTATATCTATGACACAATATCTCGCACGCTGCTGTTGTGTCGTTCAATCATCATGGTTCACGATTAATGATTGCGAGTACAGAAAATCCACACACAAAAAAACGTAAAAGTAAATCAACAACGAATCTAAAACATCTTAAACTGTGTTCCGAAGATGAACGGAGGTCTTAAGGGCTTGGGATGACATGAGGGCGAGTCATTAATGACATCATTTTCATTTTTGGGTGAACTAACCCTTTAATTAATCACTGTCATTATTAGGATACGTACAAAAAGCTTTTAAGATGGCTGTTATTAAATCTCTTATTAAAAAATGCAACTTGATCCTAGAGAACTAGTTAATTACAGACTTATCTCGAATCTCCCTTTTCTGTCAAAAATACTAGAAAAAGCAGTGTCCTCACAACTATGTTTCTTTTTAGAAAGAAATGAAATCTGCAATGATTTCCAGTCAGTATTTTGACCGTTTCATAGTACTAAAGCTGCACTCATTAGAGTTACAAATGATTTGCTCTTATCGTATGATCGTGGTTGTGTCTCTCTATTAGTGTTACTCGATCTTAGTGCTTCATTTGATACTATCAACCACTAAATTACTCAAATTAAATTGACATTAGTGGAATTGCATTGACATGGTTCAAATCATACTTATCTGACCGTTATCAATTTGTAGCAGTAAGTGAAGAGGTGTCATATCGATCACAAGTTCAGTATGGAGTACAGCAAGGCTCAGTACTAGGGCCGTTGCTTTTCATCCTGCACATGCTACCCTTGGGAGATATCATTAGGAAGCATGGCATTAGTTTTCACTGTTACACTGATGATACTCAGCTCTATATTTTTTGCTCCCTGACGAAACAAACAGATTCGCAAAATTTACGGAATGCATACTTGATATAAAAATTCAATTTTGATAAATAGTAATTTCCTACTAATTATTGGACAAAAAACCTCTGCACGCATTAACCCAGAATACTGTCTAACACTTGATGGCTGCTCTGTCAAATCGTTGTCGGCAGTTAGGAACCTGGGTGTGCTCTTTAATGCCACTTTTTTCATTTGAAATTCACATTTTTCCATCTTAAAAATATATCTACACCACGACATATGCTGTCAATGACACATGCAAGAACAGTTAGTTCATGCATTCATGACCTCAAGGCTAGATTATTGTAATGCTCTACTGGGTGGTTGCCCTGCATGCATAATAAACAAACTACAGCTGGTCCAAAACGCAGCAGCTCGAGTTCTTACAAGAACCAGGAACCATGGCCATATTAGCCCGGTTTTGTCAACAATAAAGGTATAAATAAAAGTGACTTGACAATAAAGTACTAAAATGACTAAACAATTAAAGCTAAAATGGAAATATATGGAAAAACTAAAAACTAATAAAAATGACAAAAGCACAAAAAATAACTAAAACTTTTTAATATGGTTTTAAAAAGAATAAAAATGAAAAAAAAAAACTGAAAATTAAAATATATATATATATATATACACTCACCGGCCACTTTATTAGGTACCCCATGCTAGTAACGGGTTGGACCCCCTTTTGCCTTCAGAACTGCCTCAATTCTTCGTGGCATAGATTCAACAAGGTGCTGGAAGCATTCCTCAGGGAGTTTGGTCCATATTGACATGATGGCATCACACAGTTGCCGCAGATTTGTCGGCTGCACATCCATGATGCGAATCTCCCGTTCCACCACATCCCAAAGATGCTCTATTGGGTTGAGATCTGGTGACTGTGGAGGCCATTTTAGTACAGTGAACTCATTGTCATGTTCAAGAAACCAATTTGAAATGATTAGAGCTTTGTGACATGGTGGAAGTAGCCATCAGAGGATGGGTACATGGTGGCCATAAAGGGATGGACATGGTCAGAAACAATGCTCAGGTAGGCCGTGGCATTTAAACGATGCCCAATTGGCACTAAGGGGCCTAAAGTGTGCCAGGAAAACATCCCCCACACCATTACACCACCACCACCAGCCTGCACAGTGGTAACAAGGCATGATGGTTCCATGTTCTCATTCTGTTTACGCCAAATTCTGACTCTAACATCTGAATGTCTCAACAGAAATCGAGACTCATCAGACCAGGCAACATTTTTCCAGTCTTCAACTGTTCAATTTTGGTGAGCTCTTGCAAATTGTAGCCTCTTTTTCCTATTTGTAGTGGAGATGAGTGGTACCCGGTGGAGTCTTCTGCTGTTGTAGCCCATCCGCCTCAAGGTTGTGCGTGTTGTGGCTTCACAAATGCTTTGCTGCATACCTCGGTTGTAACGAGTGGTTATTTCAGTCACTGTTGCCCTTCTATCAGCTTGAACCAGTCTAGCCATTCTCCTCTGACCTCTGGCATCAACAAGGCATTTCCGCCCACAGAACTGCCGCTCACTGGATGTTTTTTCTTTTTCGGACCATTCTCTGTAAACCCTAGAGATGGTTGTGCGTGAAAATCCCAGTAGATTAGCAGTTTCTGAAATACTCAGACCAGCCCTTCTGGCACCAACAATCATGCCACGTTCAAAGTCACTCAAATCAACTTTCTTCCCCATACTGATGCTCGGTTTGAACTGCAGGAGATTGTCTTGACCATGTCTACATGCCTAAATGCACTGAGTTGCCGCCATGTGATTGGCTGCTTAGAAATTAATTGTTAACGAGCAGTTGGACAGGTGTACCTAATAAAGTGGCCGGTGAGTGTATATATATATATATATATAATATAATAATAATAAAAGGACATTTAAAAAATAAAATTAAAAAATAAAAATAAATGCCAATTCAAAATATTAGCCAATAAGTATATAAATAATACAAAAGTAACACTGGCTCAATCTCTTGAAGACACTTGACTCACCAAGGTCGTCCTCTCCCGAGTCTGCTTTAAAGATGTAAACTTTAATGACTTCCTGTCCGTCCTCATCTTTCTCCACCTCCTGGTCATCTATCGCCCCCTCTACCGTCACCTCCTCTCCGTCTCCCGACACCATCTTACCAGCGTCGTCCACTGCAGGAAGGAAGAAAGACCAACATTATGAACAGATCATTAGTTTTATGACAGAAAAACGAATGAAGGGAAATGAGTCCAAAAAGATCTGATAGAAACAAACAAACAAACAACTGACTGAAATGAACAGCAAGCGAATGAGCTAGTTAACCAATAGAATAAATTAATTAGATAGAAACAAATGAATAAATGAATGAACAAACAAAAAAACTGATTGAATAAATAAATGAACAACAACAACTAAACTGGCATCTTAGTGAATGAACGAATAAATGATCAAATAAACTAGTTAACCAATGAAATAAATGAATTAGACACAAATGAACAAATAAAATGAATGAACGAACAAAAAAACTGACTGAATAAATGAACAACAACATATAGACTAGCAACTAAGCGAGTGAACGAACAAATGAGCAAATTAACTAGTTAACCAATAGAATAAATTAATTAGAAACAAATGAATGAATGAATGAACAAAAGAACAGATTGAATAAACAAACAACGACAAATAAACTGGACAATTAATGAGTGAAACAAATGAGTGAATGAACTAGAATAAATTAATTAGAAACAAATAATAGAAGGAATTAACAAAAAACTGATTGGAATAAATGAATAACGACAAATAAACTGGCAACTAGGTGAGTGAACGAATTAACCAACAAAATGAATGAACGAATGAATGAATGAAAAAAAGAAAGAAAGAGAGTGAATTACAGGAGATCATCAGGTAGTCTCCACAGCTGTCAGAGTCGTGTTATGAATGAACGGATTAAAGAAAGAAAGAAAAAAAGAAAGAAAGAAAGAAAGAAAGAAAGAAAGAAAGTGAATTACAGGAGATCATCAGGTAGTCTCCACAGCTGTCCGAGTCGTGTTGTGAATGAACGGATTAAAGAAAGAAAGAAAAAAAGAAAGAAAGAAAGAAAGAAAGAAAGAAAGTGAATTACAGGAGATCATCAGGTAGTCTCCACAGCTGTCCGAGTCGTGTTGTGAATGAACGGATTAAAGTAAGAAAGAAAAAAAGAAGGAAAGAAAGAAAGAAAGAAAGAAAGAAAGAAAGAAAGAAAGAAAGAAAGAAAGAAAGAAAGAAAGAAAGTGAATTACAGGAGATCATCAGGTAGTCTCCACAGCTGTCCGAGTCGTGTTGTGAATGAACGGATTAAAGAAAGAAAGAAAAAAAGAAGGAAAGAAAGAAAGAAAGAAAGAGAATTACAGGAGATCATCAGGTAGTCTCCACAGCTGTCAGAGTCGTGTTATGAATGAACGGATTAAAGAAAGAAAGAAAAAAAGAAAGAAAGAAAGAAAGAAAGAAAGAAAGAAAGAAAGAAAGAAAGAAAGAAAGAAAGAAAGAAAGAGAATTACAGGAGATCATCAGGTAGTCTCCACAGCTGTCCGAGTCGTGTTGTGAATGAAAGAAAGAAAGAAAGAAAGAAAGAAAGAAAGAAAGAAAGAAAGAAAGAAAGAAAGAAAGAAAGAAAGAAAGAAAGAAAGAAAGAAAGAAAGAAAGAAAGAAAGAAAGTGAATTACAGGAGATCATCAGGTAGTCTCCACAGCTGTCCGAGACGTGTTGTGAATGAACGAATGAACGAACGAACGAACGAACGAACGAACGAATGAACGAAAGAAAGAAAGAAAGAAAGAAAGAAAGAAAGAAAGAAAGAGAGTGAATTACAGGAGATCATCAGGTAGTCTCCACAGCTGTCCGAGTCGTGTTCGGGGTCCAGGCCGTCCTGCTCTCTCCCCTCCGCCACCAACACATCCTCAGTCATCTCTGCCATGGCAACACCATCCTCCTCCTCCTCCTCCTCCTCCAGTGACATCACACAGGTCTCCACGGCAACGCCCTCGTCGTCATCGCAGTGCACATACTCGGCAACCACGTCCTCGACGGCGTCCTGGATGACGAGCTCGTCGGAGGAGAAGCCCTGAACCGACCCCCCCTCCCCCTCCACCTCAGACACCAGCACTGTCTCCTGCAGCTCCACCACATACTCCTCGTCTCCAGCACCTCCCTCCCCTGCAACACACACACACACACACACACACACGCTTAGTGCCTGCCAGAACTACTGCTGGCAGAGTCAAAGTTTGATCACTAAACCACAATTCATAATGACCACCTGAAATGGTTAACCACTGGTTACTAAATTTCCAAATAAAATAAAGAAGTAAATCAACACACATACATACATATATATACAGTATATATATACATATATATATATACACACACACTTTTATAAAATAAATATAAATATAATATATTTAATAATGAATAATAATATTTATTATATTATTATTACTACAATAATGTATATTATGTTTTAATTGTTGTCAAAAAGCAGACATAAAACTGTTAATATATATATATATATATATATATATATATATATATATATATATATATATATATATATATATATATATATATATATATATATTAAAAACATATGTAATACATTATAAGCATAAATATATTTCTAATTATATATTATAAAAATATATTTTTGAATTATCATATTTTAATTAAATTGAACAATAAAACCATTAGATGACAATAACAACATAACATAGATTTTTGTAATAATAATAATAAACAATATTATTATCATAATAATATTATCATAAAATATATATTATTTGCAATTTTATAACGCTTTTCTACATATATAATATGTAATTATGTAATACATATAAATGTATATTTATAATATACATTTATATATACATAATATATATTAATTATGATGATATATTATAAAAAACTATAGATTCATTTAATACTATTTATTAAAATATATTTTTGTTGCGAGTTGTGCCATTTGATGTTTTAAATAATTAAATATATATTATATAAATATTACAAAAATAAAAGTATATTTATAATTGTATATCTTTAACTATAAATATATCATTTTTATTTAATTACATGAAAAATATTTTTTATTATAATTATAGTTAATAACTATACAAAATTCTCGATTTTTCTTATTTATGCCATCATGTAACAAATGCCATTGATATGCAAGTGTACATCTAAAAAATGTACAAATTGTTTTCATACAAATTTAAACTTAATCTTTCTCTTCTGTGAACAAAGTATCTCTCGAATGAGAATGATAGAACATTAGCATTACGCTATCATAACCTTAGAAAGGACAGGTGTCTATATATGTGTTTATTACCTGAGCCATGCAGTATAATCTTGGGCTCCTGGGAGCGGAGAGCAAGCCTTGTCACCTCCTCATCCATCGTCTTTATTCTTCATTGGCCACGGCACAACTGACACAACAAACAACACATACAATTAATCATGTATTACCAAACACACAATGACCAGCTATATTTACATATGAAGAAATCAGTAAATACAGAATGAAGCCTACATAGCGTTGCTTTCTTGACAAGGGGATCATAACAATGTGAAAGGCTTCAAGAACTAGTTGTCATATTGTAAACATACAATAGGTTTGAAATGGATGTACACTTGAATAGACACACACACAGAGAGAGAGAGACATGCATGCAAACATATAAATATGGAGGCAGAGAGACAGGCAGACTTACGAATATGACTAATAAATATGAGCAGGTTATTGACGGACATGCACGTCCCTTAAATTTGCAAATGACTGCGACAAGATGAGTGACTGAAAAATTAATGCAACACACATATGAGCACCAATAAACGGTTGTGCATTAGGTGTGTTATATAAAATAATGCAATACATCATAAATACAACGCAAAATCCATTAAAAGCTTTATGCATGAGAGGAAACACATGAAGCTTCATGCAATTTGAGAAGAATGTGTGTACCAGCCATAGACTGTAAAAAAAAAAAAAAAAAATAGGTAGCAGCGCGCGCCGAAGCTTCCCACCCCCCGCGCGCGGAGAAAAGCAGCGACGGCTTCCTCGTATTTCAGCACCTGAAACCGGACATAAACATGGCGCCTTGTTGTGGCCATAATTTTTCCCCTTCCACTGAAAACAAAACCCCGCCATTTTGAGCCATAATACACCGCGCGTTTAATTCCCACGCATACATATTACACATAAGCGAGCACGCGCTCTCAGCTTTGAAACAAAGGGGCGTTTAGTGTCGCGCGCCTATGCGTGCATGCAAGAGCATTTATAAACAATAACCCTCCCCCAGTGAACAAGGCCTGAGTGCGGCCTGTGCGAGGCCCGGGGCCCGGCGGCCAATCCGAGGCCTCGCGTCTCCAGCAACATAATGCAACAAAAACGTGCGATTTCAGTGCATAAATCCAGCGTGCGCGTGCAACGAGCTTGCGGGATAAAACTCGCGCGGTCTGATTCACCAGTACATGCGCGCTTACCATAGATCAACGCACGGGGCGGCCTCCAGATTTTCCCCGGGCAGGCAAGGCCGTCGGATTCCCCCAGACTCGGGCAGGGTTGGATCGGGAGTTAGCGGGCGTTGGGCGGGCCGCGGAGTGCGCATGGAGGGCGGAGCTCCACACACACACACACTTCAGCCCGCAGCTTCTCCACAGCGCGCGACCCGCCGTCAACGCGACACGTCACTGCGCAGAGTCGCAGGAAAACGCGGAAGGCCGATGAACAACCGTTTACCCAGCGAACGCGAAGCTAACAGCGACAATTTCCCCATGCAAAGTGCATAAGCGTGTTGTAAACTGACTGTTTAACCTTCACTGACCGACGAATGCATGTTAAAGATGTAACGTATGTTTCCATTGTTTGGCCATTAAAAGCGCCCACTGGTTGGGTCATCCCATGCATTGCGTTTCCATGCCCACTGGGACCCAGGAAGTCTCCAGTTTTAGAGCACATTCTTCAGAAACACCAAAAGTTTGGAAATTTCACCATAACAATAACTCCTCCTTGGTCTTTAAAATGACTGATATTAATTTAGTAATCAAAGTTAGCACTCTTATTGAAATATTATAATATTTTGAAATTATAATTTACATCTGACAAATTTTATAATTGTTCGTCATCAATCAACATCTCATAAAAATGTTATGAGGTTTCTAAACAATATGACTTTCTGTTACAAAACAGGGCATTGATATCATACATGTCCACTGTAGAAGACATGAGGACTTAAATCATTTTGGGAGACGCAACAAGTGAATAGTGAAAGTGAAAATTGTATATCAAATATTCCTATAAAATATTAGATATTATTATGAAAATGTTGCCAAATATTACTCCCATTATTGCACTTATTTTTACATTACAAGTTGGCCCAAGAACACATTAATATGCAGATTATATACAGTGTATATTGTATTGAACGGTACCCATTTATGGCCATTTTACACACATATTGCAGTAAAAGTAAATAAGTAAAATTGTATATCAATTCATTCCATTATATCTTCTTTCATAACATGAGAATCATCTTTCTTCAAAGCTTGGTTAAAAAAAAAATCCTGAAGCGTAAAAATTTATTGTTCCCAATTGTAAAAATCACATTGTTTTTCCTGGTGTCCACTACAGTAAACATTGCATAACATAGAATACAATATATATTTCTTCAAAAATGTTTTATTTTCTTCCGTTTGTTTCTTATGCTAGTCTACACAATGTGATGCATGAAAAAACACTAAATTCAAAAAACTTTTTTTCTGGGTCTCAGGAGTTTAGTTAAGTTAATATGTTAGATCAAATATTAAGATAAAATTAACGTTAATTAATTATTATCACAACTGAAAAATCCCTGGTGTTTCATCGTTCCTTTCTCGAACCCTTAATCAAAATGTTGTTTTTTAGTTTTCAACACATGTTTAGTGAAAAATTAGGTATTGTTTTAAATATAGGACTAGTAGTTTAAATATAATTAGTAATTGTCTGATCAGGCATGCTTGGTTTGTTACATAATGTGGTGTATTTCTCATGAGAATTACTACATTTTTACTGTAGTACATGTGTACTCCATGCATATTCACCCTCGAAACACATCCATCCCAGAAACAGATGAAGTATGAAAGGTGAAATCAAACAAAAGAGCCCAAATGTTCAAATACAAGTGTTATCATGTCAAATGAAGCCATTAACCCAGAACTGCAAATAGCCTTTACCAAGTTCTCATAATTAATAATAAATGAACATTTTAATTGCCAATTCAAATCCTCAGAATAATGCACTAATAGTTTGTAGTGTATACTTAAATCAAGGCATCTACTAGTGTAAAGTCTACTAAGTCCGTCTAAATGAGCTCCGGTGTCTGGACAGCCTCTATATCCAGTTGCTTTGACCAGTTGCACAGTTTCTCAGCCTCTTCCTCCCATTCAGACTCCGATGAGTTTACGTCATAGTCTTCGGTCTCAACTAACGGTAGAACTATCTTGATGCCCCATTTCTCAGTTTTCCCGTTCTGTTTCTTCAAGTCATGGTTATTAATGCGGTCCATATGTTCATGTAACACCTGGAAACGAGAGTAACTCAGGTTTGGTCCCACAGAAAACACAAAAATCCTCTCATTTCTGTCATGACAACTCTCCGAGTGTTCGGCATGGTAATGGATACAGTATGTAATGCAATTATATCTGAAGCAACTGTAATTAAATAACTGAAAAATTACGAGTAATCCTTTACTTTACTTTTTCCAGGCAAAAGGTAATTAAATTGCAGTAATTAATAACTCAGTAATGCATTAAACCCAACACTGGTGCAGTTTTGGGAGTGTTAAGCACTTTAAACGTGCTATAGAAATAAATGTTGTTTTTGTCGTTGTGTTATTCGCTGAGTAATTCATTGTGAAATTTACTTGCGATTTCTGACTGAAAATTGTTTCTATTATTTCAGTGCACAGTTGTTGGCATTGAAAGTGATGGGGAACCTTATACGTTTAGACAAATGCAGAAATGATATCTTACTCTGTGAGTCTCGGTCAGGCCGTAGAGGCGTCTCTTGCGATCCGCAGTGTTCTGAGCGCGAGCGGAGCGTCGTGTCGAAGCCAGAAAACCTCTGGACACATCAAAATAATGTTAAAAATATTGCTCTTTAAACATGACATTTGGTTTGTTTGGTATGGAAGCTTGTTTCCGCCACTGAATAAAAAATAATAATATTAGCGACTTTTTATCTCACAATTGCGAGATATGAAGTCAGAATTGTGAGAAATAAAGTCGCAATTGCGAGATATAAAGTCGCGAGAAAAAAGACAGAATTGAGACTTTTTATCTCACAATTGCGAGTTTACATCTCAGAATTGTGAGATAAATTGAGTTAT